TCGTGTTAGCTAGCTATATCGCCCGATAGTAAATAACCCAATTCGAATTGCTAGCTAGGTATATCGGGTAGTATATTGAGTTAGCTAGCTAGATCGCCCGATAGTCGATATTTTTTTTCTCCTTGGGTAATTGTTTGTCTCCCTTTTAACATGATTCACTATACGAGAGTGTTATAATCAAAAGCAAAGCAAAATATCATTTTCATAAATTTTCTTCGGAGTAAAATTTCATTTTAAGTATGAACAACAAATTGAATATTGGGACAATCTACTTTGCAGAACAAAAATAAATCGATTTTGGATCATCGACAGCTCGTCTCCTGTATTAAAACGAATTAAAGAGATTAATAACAAAAGCTCAGCTAAAAATATTGAAACATACGACTTTTCAACATTATATACAAGTATACCGCACGACGTGCTAATTGAAAGTATGAAATGGATAGCTAAGAAAAGTACCTTGTTAAGTAACATAGTGATACTAACCAATGAATGATTCGCTACCTTCCAAAGTAACATGAATATTCAAAACAACAATAACCACAAATATTATACAATAATTAGTAGAGAAACCTTCGGTCAAACGATTAAATTTCTAGTCGAGAATAGTTATTTCACTCTAGGTAAGATTATTGTTAAACAAACCATTGGAATACCAATGGCCACAGATCCCTGGCCCCTTTTAGCAAATTTGTTCTTGCACAAGTCAGAATTTGAATTTTTGGATAAAAATACAACAAGTTCAAAGTTCAACACGTACAAGGTTGGCTGTTTTCACTTAATATTAGAATTTACTTTACTTAATATAGAACAATACTGGAATATTGTTCATAAACAGCATAAATTATAAGTAATCGACTATCGTTTAGATACATCTGCCAGTTGTGTGACCCCTGAAGGCTCTCTGAAGATCTCGCGAATATACCCACTGGATGCACCATAGTTGATTACCTATGAATCTACTTTTTCTGCGCATAATCTTTCGCGCTTTATAGCAAACTACAAATTGGATTAAAATTCGAAGGAACAAGGTCTCTTGGTTGGTCTAAATAAAAAAGACAGAGCAACTTTTTTTAAATTTCTCATCGTAACTTTGGACTACTACAATAGTAATATATGAAGCTAAATTTTGAAAGAAATTCATGTTGTATATCAAAAGTTATAAGTAGTCCCAGTGAGAAGTGTAAACGAGTCATGTCGTGATTGGTTCAAAAGATTCCGGGCAGGCGACTTGTCATTGAAAGATCAACCGAGGTCTGAACGTCCTCTCGAATCCGATATTGAACGATTAAAAGCATTGATACAAGACAATCCACGGCTAACCACACGTGACTTGTCAGCAATGGTAGGCTGCAACCAATCCATGATCGATCGTCATCTGCATCAAATGCGAAAAGTCAATAAGCTTGGTACATGGGTTCCACATCAACTCTCACCAGACAACATGCAACAGAGAATCACCATCTGCAACTTTTTGTTGTCCAAGCGCGACCGATACAGGTTTCTTCAGCAAATCGTCACTGGTGATGAAAAGTGGGTACTCTACCTTAATCACACACGCAAGCGCCAGTGGCTCAATCCTGAAGATATGCCAGAGCCAGAGCCGAAAAACGACTTGCACCCAAAAAACGTGATGCTATCAATTTGGTAGGATTTTCAAGATGTTATCTACTATGATCTCCTTCCTCCTAACACCACAGTAGACTGTAAGCTTTACTGCACACAACTCGAAAATTTGAAGGTGGCACTTCAAGCCAAGCGTCCAGAACGACGAAAAGTTCGGCTGCTTCACGACAACGCTAGACATCATGTATCAAAAGTCACCCGTCAAAAGCTGGAAGAAGTGGGCTAGGAACTCCTATCCCATCCATCGTATTCATCAGACTTAGCACCCTCCGATTATCACTTATTCCGCTCGCTTCACAATCATCTGCTCCAGAAACACTTCGACGATGAAGCGCACTTAAAGTCGGACCTAGAACGTTTCTTGCAGTCTTTGTCCAAGAAATTCTTTGAAGATAGCATTCTTGATTTGCCTAAGAGATGGGAGTATGTCGTAGATAACAATGGTATATATGTTGTTGATTGATGTTATTTTGTTTCAATAAAGTTATGAAACATTAAAAAGAAAAAAATCGGCGGATACTTTTGCATCTCGAAAAACGAATTTGAGCGATTTTGGAGTTTTTTCTATTTTTCGACATGAAAACAACTTTTTTAAAAAATATATTTTCTTAATCAGTTCAACGAGCTCTATCGAACGATGTAGAAATTCAAAAAATATTTTGCTCAATTTCTGCATTACGCGCACCTTAGGCAAAATAAATCATGCTCTCTCGCATCGAGACCACAACGAGGGCAGCTAAGATATACATATCCGTGATCAGCGTAAAATTCTCTACAAGATGGGCTAGGACTCGTCTCTTTTCTCAGATATGTTCCCTCGTCAGAATCTTAGTCACGAATGTATATATTACGTCTTGTATTCCAACATAAAAGATAAATGATGGCAAATTTTTTATTTTTACCTCATTCACCTTATTCGCTGATCATTTTTGATGCAAGAGAGTATAGCCACTTTAGTTATTAAAAATGAATAAGTATATTAAACATTGGTCAACATTTTATAGTACATGTAGAAGCAGCCGTAAGAACTTATACACTTCTGACTTCTTTAAACACATGCTCGACAGTTAGCGTTATTTGTAACTGGTCGTTATCGTTACTTGTAACGGTAACCACTTGCCCGTTACCGTTACCACGACCTGTAACTGATCAGCCGTTACAGTTATTGTAACAGTAATGGTAACTGTCACAGCCCTAGTAATATATCTTGTACGTCAATCGGATTAGTTACTGATCAATCGGCCCATCCGGTAACAACTCTGGTCTAGCCCACATCCAATTTTATTTTTAATATTGCTTTATGTGTATGATCATCTGAATAAACACGTATACCAGTACTGACCAATCCGTTGCGTTGAATAGAGGAACTGTTGTTCTAATCATAGATGATTCGTTCAATAATAATTTACAATGCGACTGTTCGCCTGGAGGTTTTCAACTACACACGTCATCCTATGTTTATCAAACCGGCAAAAGACCGCCAACTAACCGCGGTTTATTAACGGTTTATTTTCTTGAGCAAGCCATAGGGTACAAATGCTCCTCTGAACATTTTTTTATTTTCTTCTGCTTTTTCATTTTTCTTTTGAGTGTTGAACTTTAATGTGTTTCATATCAGTAACAAACTGTCGGTTAGCCACCGGTAAAATTTTGTACTAAACAGTATCTATCCACTTGCCCGTATCCTTAGACAAAGTCCGAAATTCACATTTCTTAAATACATATGGTGACCACAAAACAAAACGATGACTGAAAAAGAAACGGTAATCATCGGTTCTCCGAAATAACGCGATCAAGTGATGATTAATTTTCCAAACTACGATATCAAAAGTACAGGCGGTTAATCGTGACTAATTGACAGTTTATAGCGAATCGCGATCAGTTGGAGGTTATTTAAGGAACCATGGTTAGCCGACAGTTTTCGATAAAAATAGACGACATGGGATGTGTACGTAAACGAAACATTGACTAATCTCAGAATTAATACCTTTCCTTGTCAAGTTTATCTTTCCAATCAATAAAAGTTATATGATGTACATTTGATTACACAAGAAAAAGATCAAATATGATCAAACAAAGTGTGATTCTAATTGGTTGTAGAAAATAATAAACTGTAAAAACCCTTGGAATGTTTCACTGACACGAAGAACGTTTCCTTAGGATTTTTCACAAAAAATCATTATAAAGTTTTATGCATGTTTCTCTGACAATCGCTCGAGCACAACTCCTAATCTATTTTTATTATCATATGCTTCCATTTCTTCAATATGAGCAGCAGCAAGTTCACATAGGGTATCTATTGTGTTGGCTTCAATATTATCTAACCCAATCGGATTCTCTAACCAAACTTGCCAGCGTTGATAATTATTTCCGAGCTCGGTACTTAAATGAAACTCACTGTCTTCTTGAGGACCGTCTAGAAAACGTTTTATAACTTCTTTCAAATTTATCCACCAGAAAACGTTACTGCGAATCACATCCTTTTTCAACGGATACGGTACGTAGTCTCCAGTACCAAGAGATAACATAAAAATATTCTCTTTACCATAATTCTTAGCTTCCTGATAAGCGATCTTTGCCGGATTATTAGCCTGAATTCCTCCATCAAGATACTTAGCTTTCATTTCATAGGGTTTAAAATAAAAAGGAGCGGCTGTGGTACACATGAGAACATTTTGTAACTTATAATCTTTTGAACGATCTAAAAGGCCTTGCCGTTTAGTAAATCTTACTGTACAGTTTTGGTCTTCTCTCACCGCTGGTATTACCACGTCAGTCAAAGTTTGTGAAAGTCGAAAATCACGAAAGTAGCTCTTAAACAGCCGCTGACGACCGCTATCATCGTATCGTGGCGCATTCAAATTCCAATAAGAGGATCGCGTAAATACAGATTCCCGTTCGTCTTTATACAATTTAACGATATCAGAAGCCTTATAAAGCTCGCTTGGATGGTCAGGATGTGGTACCGATAGTCCAGCTGCGATAATAGCACCAGTCGATGTGCCTGCCATCATATGAAATAAATCGGCACAAGGTCGTTTTGTCTTTCGCTCAATCTCAGCTAGCCACAAAGCGGGTATTAGTCCACGCATTCCTCCACCATCAATAGAAAGAATGTTATAGGTGTCTGATGAATTCTCATGTCGATCTGCTCTGCTCGTTGTATATTCTTGTTCTTGCTTTTGTCTTCTACTTGGAATTTTATTTATTACACGCAACTCTGCTAAAGCTTCTTCAAGACCACTGTCGAGAGCTTTTTGAACATCTCCTTTAGTACACAAGCAGATACTTTGTCTAGCTGAAGCTTCTTCGAAATCACCCTCAGCAGCTTTTCGAATGTTTTCTTTAGCATCTTGATGTGAGCGCGTATTCCGTTTTACTAGGTCAAGTAAACGAACTTTTTCAGCACAATTCTTAGTTTCTTTTAAAACGTTCTTTGCTGCTCTGTATCTGCCAAGCTCTAAGAGATACTTAACAAAGTTTAATATCGCTGCCTGATCATCTCGAAAGATGTTTAGAGCTTTAAATTGACTATTAAGAGCTTTCTGAACGTTTTTTCTAGCATCTCGATGTGAGCGCATATTCCGTTTGGCTAGTCCAAGTAAATAGAATCTTTCAGCACAATCCAAAGCTTTTTCTAAAACTTTTACTGCTGCTATGTATCTGCCAAAATTCAAGAGACATCTCGCAGAGCCCAACATGGCTATCTGATCGTTTGAAGAGAGTTTGAGAACTTCTTTGTAACAGTCAGATGCATTATGCCATTCAGGCAAAGCATTTAAAAGATGGGATTTGTTCAACGTTAATGCTTGAGTGCGGTGAATGTTTGCTATTTCCTTTAGAAGAGCAACGCGTTGTTCAACATCATTATCTTTAAGTAGTTCTAACTGTCTGTGAAGATAGTTTATCAATGGTTCACATAAAATGGATATGGATGACTTATCACCTACTTTTGTTGTTATATAATGAAGACGAGCTGCAAACATCTTTCGATCTTTCATAAAATTTTTAGCTGTTTCACTGTGGAGAAGTACAAGACCATTTCTCCTATTATTTTTCACATTATTGAAATTACACCAGTTAGCAGGTATTGACAAATAAGTCGAAGATGGCACATTTTTCATTGATTCTCCATTATCTGTTAGTATATCCTTCATCGTATCCGCAGCGAATTGTAACGCATATGGTTCAGAACAAATGCGTTCTTCTCTATCAACCGTGAATAAAATATTTTTACTATTTGTTGTTACAACCATATCCAAAACTTGTTGAAACATTGGACTACCACTCATGTACGCTTCCCTAACTTGATCAGAAATGAGGGTCTGATCTAGTCGAATAGTCGATTCGCGCAGTATGTGATTCAAACTAACAAAAGGTTCATCTATTTCTCTGTTAAACAACGACAAATTCTGGCTTAAATTTCGCAAAAAAGACGGATATGATAACAAGTCATCAAAAAAACCAAAAGCAAACAGTAGATCATCTAACGCTTGCACGTGTATATCCCCGAAAATTAAAAACTGAGGAGATTTCTTCAGAGCGACAATAGTGTCATAGCTCGCCTGCATACCACCTACACCAGAAGTAATCATTTTTATTAAAGCGTAATTTATCCGCGCTTTCTTACAACATTCTTCCAGAAGATCTGAAGAAGGTTTACTTCTCGCACCACCTAATTCATCCGCTTGTATTTTAAAACAATTATTTTCAAAGATCTTATGAAAGAAATGTTCAGCCAGTTGAACATGAAATGATTTCTCTGAAGTAAAATATTCTCGTAATAGAACTTCTCCAATAAAAAGCAAATAATTAGCTGCTTGACTCTGGCTAAATCCATCTTTCAGATGATTATTAACAATAACTTCAAAAACACTAGTAACCGACTCGTCTCGTATTTTAGCGCTTTTCAAAATATCTGAGTACCTTTGCGCATAATACTTGTCTATCTCTTCACTTATCCTTGAATGTGATTCGGTCTCAGATACACCTTTAATAAACTGTTTTATTATAGCGTTTACTCCTATTCCAAGTTCGTAGACACTGCTTTGTAGTTGGACAAATTTAAAACGAAAGATTTCGTCATGTTTATTCCTTAGCGTCATATTTTCTTCGTTTTCAGTAATATCCTGTCTTGCATCTTCTGGTTGAGTACCGTGCAGAGCAATAATACGTTCTGTCTTACATTGCTCTTTAATTATATCCTTTACTTTATCACAAACGTTTTCGCTCGTCACCTGTTTCGGAAATTTTTTTCGTAACTGAGATTTTAGTTGTTCTGGCATTTCATGTTCGCCGCCTGAATTCGAAAAGTTTGTTAGTAAAAGATAAAAGGCAGATAAAGAATATAATTCAGCTTCTGTTCTATAATCATCAGCCAAAGACAGCGCAATAGCCATGGATTCCACTAACTCAACTCGTTCGAGTGCATTTCCCGTTCTACCCAAAAGCCTTGTTGCTGCTCGATATTGTTCATATGCACCCAGTGCAAAGAATATTTTGCGTGATTTCAACTCTTTCTTATCGAAGTTCTCAACATACTTATTCTCTTCGATGCTGTAGTTATATACATCAGCTATTTTTCTCAATCTATCTCCCTCTTTTCGATACAAATCATAGTAGCTAGAACTATCAGCTCGTTCTTTTAACAAGTTCATCAATTTTTCTTTTTGTTCCGAAACACATCTTAGCACATTTTTAAAAAGATCATTATGGTGCTGTATGGTGCTAAATTTTAATCTGTTAGAGTTAAAAATAGACATCCATTCATCGTATCGAAATTCAATACGTTCTTTAGTCAATGAAACATTTTCAAAAAAAACCTTTTTGTTTGTTTTTACTAAAAGTTCTGCAAAACTCACTAGTTGTCTGAATTGACTCTCATCAATAAGACAATCTAAGTTGGCAATAGAGTTGCGTCGTACACCATTTTCTACAACCATTTTTTCGTGAATCATAATATTTTTCAATACACTTAATACTGTTCGTACTCTATCACAAATATTGGTCATTTTCCAGTACTCACTTAACGATCTTACATTTGATTTGAAAACTTGCTTGATCAATAGAGTTAATTCATCGAAATCTCCGAAAATAACCGGTCTTACTTGCTGATTTAACCAGTCGGTTTTCGATTTTGGTGGTTCTTGCCTAAATAAATTACGTTCAAATTCTCTTAACCATTCGTCAATTTTGTGATGGTCAAATGCTGTCGTTGTCAAGTTATCCAATGGCTTTTCTTTATGATCATATTCATCATATCTCTTCCCGAGAGTCTTTTGTGTGTTTGCTTCTTCTATTTGTCCAATCGATAACAGATAATCAGCTTTTTTCTTATGATATACAGAACGGTAATGATCATGCAGTCGTTTCTCGTCAGCTTCGAATTTTTCATCAGAAATCTCTTTTTTCACATTCGTAAATAACTGTTCAAGTTCATCGATATCACTACGATCATCAACTGCATTATCAATCTCTTGAAATATTCTCTTAATATTCTCCACCGTCATTCCAAACAGTTATTGACAGTCTGAAATTAATAATGATCCTTGAAAGTTTTTTTCAAAACATTAGAGTCAAAACTTATCCACAGCGCGCACTTAAAGGCCAATTCGTGCAAAGAAAGATGCTATAGAGTGCAATAGTTTTGATTTTTGTTGGTAGAAATAAGGACTAAGTCACGGAGAAGTGAAAGTTTATATACTAGAAAAAATGTCAAACATTTTAATAACTTGCACTCTATTCATTATTGTAGCTAACCGACATCAAAAGAGTAGCGCGAATCTTCAGCTTTCTCGAGTCTTCTCTGAATTGTCTCAGGAAGTTGAAAAAGACTTTGCTTAATAATAATGTCTGGAAAGCGCTTAAATACATCAAAATGACTGAGCTGAACATCACTACATTTTTCGAATCTCATAAAAAAAAACATCTTTAAACGCAAAATTCTTTAGAACTAGTAAATGTAGGCAGATTTTGGAAACAACCTCTCGAGTTTTCAGCCTCTCTCCAGCGATACAACCTCTTTTATCTTCCATTTTCGTATGAAGTCTACATATTGGTTGATGTGTCTCTGGAGAGAGAGAGAAAATGAATATATCCAAAAGAAAAGAAAAAGGAAAATAGGCGCTTAAGAATAACAAAAAGTTGTACGTAGTCATACTACATTATTAAATCTGCTGTAGGCAGCAAGTTACGTTATATGTAACAGAATTTAACGATTTTGATTTTTATATATTGTTTTTGCATTTATTATAAGACGACCTCAGTAAAAGAGGTTGAAACGTTTTCTTTTAAATAAATATACGGAATCTATATATTTCGTATCGACCAATTCTAACTTTTAACATGAATTTAGAAAAAAAGTTTTTTCCTGATTAGGAAGTCCTACGAGTTGTGGATAGCGCTAGCTATGTCAGGAATTGGCGTTGCCTAGTCGAAATAGCATCTCATTTTCGTATAGAAAACGCATTTTTCTTTGTTGTGGACGTGTGCTACTAACAATATAAATATTTATGTCAAACTCTATTCAAGACGTCCATCATTAGACGAAGAAATTTATGTTTTATTAATCTTTCATCAAGATGCGTTACGGGTTCGAGCGTCCTGGTTTTGAAAGATCTGATCAATTATCGTCACTAGAAACTTTTGACTTCTTATAAGGCCTGACGACAACAAGTACTGACTAGTACTATCGATTCCAAAATATAATGCACTCAGTTGTCCATCATTTATATATATTGTTTTGCTCTTCCAGAAAGTTCGATCCAGGTTTGAAATGGACAGAAATACAATGAATGAACAATGGCCAGCATTGAGAGAAGTATGTTTACAAAAACATTGTAATATAAAAGGAAAAATTTACAATAATATAAATGCACATCTTCAACGAGCGAGCTATAATGAGACTTGACTATGTCATGCTCTCGAAGAAAAGTCCGAATAAAACGTGATGTGACCAGGACAAGAATTACAAAATGCGGGCGAGATTATGCACGATTTTCTTGTAGCAAGCGCAGACTTCCCAGATGGTCCGCAGTTTAGAGTTTTTTCCGCAATTCGTCCGAATTTTAAACATTCTCTGCTTTTGCTGCTTTTTCCCTGTTCATATAAGATTTAAAGATTTTTTCTGTAAAATCAACATCATCTGCAAACATGCACAAATTAGTTTCGTTTATATTTTCGATTTCGTGCAGTACGAAAGTGCGTTTTCTGCCATGAAACATTTATTTAACGTATGTCAACAGAAATGATTGCAGCTGAGTTAAAAATTTGCTTAAACTCATCGTTATCACGCACTGAAATTTATAATTATTTCTTATCAACGCCGGATCGGCTTAAACTTATTTCTAATCAAAAATATACCGTCAAAAAAGAACGTGTCAACTAAAGTCGGGGCTGACATTTCTGTTTGTTGTTCTCTTGTGTTTTATTGAATAAAACCACAAACTGCTAGAGAAAACATTTTTCTGACTCTCTGTATGTAAAAACGGATGAAGTTAGACCATGAACATGCGTTTCGGCTTTTTTCCGTATTTTGGGACTTTTATTCTACATTTCTGACCTGAGCATCCAGGAACTCTGAGCCAGCGCCTGAGATAAGCGCGTATGTTTTTGTTGGCGTCGTTTCGAATTTTTTGAATAAAGCTACTCATCTCAAAAGTCTGCAGTTGACAATCTAGGATGGAAACAGTGTAGAACATGGTTTAGGCTTGACTTTTTACATTTAAAATAATTTTCGATAGTTTTTGTTTCGAAAGGAAAATTTTTCACGGTTGAAGCTTTTTTGCAAACAGCTGTACTTTACTCGCACATCAAAGTTTATAAATTTCTTTTAAATATATTAATCTTTTAAAGTTTTTGTCAATAAAAAAAGTCGTCTTGAGACGAGATATAATTTAATGCAATAAACAAGAAGAGCACTTTTCATAATAAATAGTCATATCTACAGACATATTTAGCAGTGTGTTTTTTATAATATTTATTGAATCAAAAGAAAATGTATGTATTGTGTGTTCATAGGAGAGATAAGAAGTTTTCTTTTGATTCAATAAATATTATAAAAAAACACACTGCTAAATATGTCTGTAGATATGACTATTTATTATGAAAAGTGCTCTTCTTGTTTATTGCATTAAATTATATCTCGTCTCAAGACGGCCTTTTTATTGACAAAAACTTTAAAAGATTAATATATTTAAAAGAAATTTATAAACTTTGATGTGCGAGTAAAGTACAGCTGTTTGCAAAAAAGCTTACATTGGTGGGTATTACATCTGTGAATATTTTTTTATGTATGCATCCACCTGAGTTGATTTACATCGTGTTTGATGACCTGTAAACAGTGCTATAGCACCATACTTTGATATTTTATTCGTTCACTGTTAGTAGAAATAACAGAAAAATATCTTTTTTGCATTTTTGACAACATCAACTTTAACTTTTTCGATCAAAAAATGTTCAAGCAAATTCGTTTGTTTTGTTTTGTTGATATTATGATAGATGGCCCACAAAAGAATCTTTGCTTCACGATGAATAACACGAGCTGATCTTATGTCTTTGCTCCAATAATGTAATATTAATATATAATGGTTTTTTTCAATGACAAGGCAGTAACATAATTAAAAAATATATATATCTAAAACAAAAACAACCGCTCTTTTATGCAGTCATTTCATAGTTTATCTATCGAAGTTTCATTACCGAACAAACGAAGTTTATAATTGTCTTAAATAATGAGAGAGCACCAAAAAGAACATTTTAATTTTGCGCAAGTCTTTTTACAAACACCTGTACTCAAAAAACATTGTAAAAACATTTGTAAGCGGGGAATATTCCACGGGACCCGAGGTCGTCAAAGTATGAATTTCATCACATATACCAAACACTTCGTTGCATGAGGCGAATTTTCATCACAGTAGTGGTGAACTTACGTCACGTTCATCGTAGCCGCGAAATAGACCATTACTAGATAAGTAAAGTTTCGTCTCATATAAATAACATTATGCGATGGGGATAGAAACGATTCTGTCGTATATCTACAACGGTATTTATCAGCGACGAAAGTTCCGGCACCTTGTGCTTTATTTTCACGTTATGGTATGTAACGAAAGTTCAGCTGGAATCGTTAAAAAACATGGCATTTCCATCACATCCAATGGACGTTACGTGTATGTTCGTCACAGCCACAAAAAACGCACCAAAACCAATGGTAATTTAATACTTCTTAACCTTATTTTTTCTCCGAAAAACGTGCTTTTGTCACGTGTGACAAATCCCCCCCTCTCTTCCGTGTGATAATGATAAAGTTGCGTTGTGACGAAAATGCCTTTTATCATTACAAACAGAATAAATTAGAAGAAAAAAAGAGAATAGTCTGAAAAAGTATATAAGCTGAGTTATTTAGACAGAGAAATTAATAGTTTCATCATTTTACAAGAATAAAAAAATGATAATGTTAACGTTTTTAAACATCATCCTTGCGTTACTAATCTCTTGTAATTCTACATCACGTATGTATAAATAAACCCTCTTCTAAATAATTCTCTGAAGTAACGTTAACCACTACTCTCTTCTTTGAATTTTTCAGAGTCGTCATAATCCTCTGAAACCGGCATGCTCCTCACAGCGCACTTTTTTCCATACTTTCAGTGAGATATGTCGCCCTCAGAACCGCTCTTGGTTCGTTCTCTACAGAATATCTTTCTAAGTCTTTTATATCATCTATCTCATGAAAACATATATAACGAAGTTTTATACAAAATTCTTAGTACATTTAAAGGTTAGTGTGTAGTTGATCACTGATTTCAGTCAATATTATGTATAAAAGCTCAAACGTCAGGACTCAACTCTCGCATCCATCACAATACAACATCAACAAATTTAATGTTCGTATCTCACCATGTTTGATTGCGTACTCTTCTCCTCGTGTTTCATTGCATTCACTTTTTACCGTATTTATTTGCCTTCAATACCGAGGCAACTTTCTTTTTTTTCTTACTTTTTTGTTGTAAAGTCAATACTGATTTTATTTACTGCTACAAAAAGGCATCATGGCATTGGAAGATCAATGCAATAACTTGTGCGCTACCATCTCTGATGCTCTGCAAATAATTTCCACTTTACAAAAGGACGATTCAGATGAGTCATCTCTTATACAGTTAGCTGCTTTTCAACACGTTAATGACACTCTGCTTCGATATTTTCAAACTAGCAATTTATGTAGTGACGACGTTCGTTTGCCATTGAAGCGTCTTGATGCATCTGCTGAATATAGAGTTGTATGGCTACATGATGGTGTGAAGCTGGATAATCATATTAAAGAGGATGTATTAGAAAAATTACATTGCGTCTTCAACTATGTAGTAACATTCGAGAGTGTGGAAGAATGTATTCATTTTCTACAACAACTTGATACTTGTAAAACTCGATTGTTTCTTGTTACAAGTTGTTACTATGAGGGCATGGTATGTAAACTCAATTTCATTATGTTTGGTGATTTAAATGAGTAGAA